CCCTTCAGAAAATGACTTTATCGCTCATAACATGCTAAGGGAAGAACCAATAGCTGTGAAATTCGGCACAAATATGTTTTATGGGAACCTAAATCTTTTTTTAAAATTTTATAAGGATAGGCTCATAATTGACCCTACCCCCCATATAAAGTCCCCTTCAGAAAATGACTTTATCGCCCATAACTGGCTAAGAGAAGCATCAATAGCGGTAAAATTCGGCACAAACATGTTTTATGAGAACCTAAATCTCTCTGTAAAATTTTATAAGTATCGGTCCATAATTGACCCTACCCCCCATATAAAGTCCCCTTCAAAAATGACTTTATCGCTCATAACTTGCTAAGGGAAGAACCAATAGCGGTGAAATTCGGCACAAACATGTTTCATGGGAACCTAAATCTCTTTTTAAAATTTTATAAGGATAGGCTCATAATTGACCCTACCCCCCATATAAAGTCCCCTTCAGAAAATGACTTTATCGCCCATAACTGGCTAAGAGAAGCATCAATAGTGGTGAAATTCGGCACAAACATGTTCTATAGGAACATAAATCTTTCCGTGGAATTTTATAAGGATAGGCCCATAATTGACCCTACCCCCCATATAAAGTCCCCTTCAGAAATGACTTTATCGCCCATAACTGGATAAGAGTAGCATCAATAGCAATGAAATTCGACACAAACATGTTCTATGGGAATATAAATCTCTTTGTAAAATTTTATAAGGATAGGCCCATAATTGACCCTACCCCCCATATAAAGTCCCCTTCAGAAAATGACTTTATCGCCCATAACTGGCTAAGAGAAGCATCAATAGCGGTGAAATTCGGCACAAACATGTTTTATGGGAACATAAATCTCTTCATATAATTTTATAAGGATCGGTCCATAATTGACCCTACCCCCCATATAAAGTCCCCTTCAGAAAATTACTTTATCGCCCATGACTGGCTAAGAAAAGCATCAATAGCGATGAAATTCGGCACAAACATGTTTTATAAGAATTTAAATCTCTTCGTAAAATTTTATAAGGATCGGTTCATAATTGACCCTACCCCCAATACAAGGGCCCCTTCAGAAAATGACTTTAATGCTCATATCTGACTTTAAGAAACATATGTGCATATATATAGCAATAAAATTCGACATAAAAAATTTTTATAGGAACTAAAATCATTTTCTTAAATTTTATGAGAAAATGACTTTAAAGCTCATTACTAGCTTAAAACTGCGAGTACTGAGTACGACATGAACAATTTTCGTATTAAGGTCTCCTTCAGAAAATAACTTTAAGGTACAAACTAGTTTTGTGTGAGCCAAAAGTTCTTTATCAAATTTTATAAGGATCGGTCCTTAATTAGCCCTATCCCCCTTGTAAGGTCCCCTTCAGAAAATGACTTTAAAGCTCATTACTAGCTTAAAACTGCGAGTACTGAGTACGACATGAACAATTTTCGTATTAGCTACAATCTCTCACTAAATTTTATGAGGATCAGTCTGTAATTGACCATACCCCCCTATAAGGTCCCCTTCGGAAAATTACTTTAACGCTCACTACTGACTCAAAAATGCTATTACAGCAGTGAAATTCTACGTAAACAAGTTTTGTACTAGCCAAAAACTATTTATCACATTTTATGGGGATCGGTCTATAACTGACCCCACCCTCCATATAAGGTCCCCCTCAGATAGTGACTGTAACGCTCGTTACTGGCTGTAACGCTCAAATGCGACTACAGCGATGAAATTTCACATAAACAAGTTTTGTATGAGTTTATGGTTATAAATATTCGATCAAACAAAATTAATATTTTAATTCGGAAGAGCACGGTCCATGCTTAAGCCTTTATTAAATTCCCTCTTCCAAATATTTCCCTGATGTTCATAATAATATCGACATATGATTCAACATAGATCGATAATATCAAAGTTTATTTATAAGGATGATTTGATGGTGGGTATATAAGATTCGGCATGGCCGAATATAACACTCTTACTTGTTTTTTTGTTTTTTTTTTCTCAAACAATAGATTATCGTTTTCAACAATTATTAAACAAATAAACCCAATTTCTTATTGTTCATTATCTTAATTTTAATCTTTAACAATTCAAAGCTTCTTCCTTGAAAGTATTTTCTATGTTGCTTTTCTAAATCAACTTTTTCTTTTCATTGTCATTTTAAAACTGACAATTTTTTTAAGGAGAATGAAAAACAAAAAACACTTGTTACAAACTGTGAAACTGAAATATGCATTCTATATCCACTAGATAGAAGTAATTATACCGAGACACTTAAACAAAAAATACAAATAACAATAAGAAACTAAAACTGCAGCAAAAAAAGAAACAAACGTAGAAGATAGAAAGAATAAAAATAAGCAAACAAAAATAAAACGACAATTCAAAACTTATTCCCCAATTACAGTTAAAGATTAAAATGGCATTAAAAAGGTTCCAAAATGAATACTGTAAAATATCAACAGCAACTCTGGGTATAGAGCTCATTAAAATAGTAAAAATTAAAATGAGAATGCATTATAAGAGAGATAATCTGCAGTTGTTACAAATATTTGTATTTTTACAAAATACTTTTATAATTATGTCTGTAACCAATACGATTAATTAGGTAATGAAAAAAAAAAGTAAAAACTACTGCTGAAATTGTAAATCCCTTATTAAACTACATTTCTCTGTGTTAATAAACATGATTTAAAATACAAAAAATGTGTTTAATATTTATCGACATCGAGGCATAAATAAATGCAATGTAAGCGATATGTGTATTTATTTGTAAGTACAGTCTTGGGTAAACAGTTAGAATTAATGTCTAAAATTTATGTTCTCCGATACCTCTTTCTTTATTGTCTTAATTTCATTGGATTTTAAGCTTATGGAATTGATCAGTAGAAAAGCCATATTTGATACCAACAAATATTTTCACATATCTGAAAAAAAAAACTCATTGTAGATTTATGCTAACTTCGCTACATTGGTAGCCACCATTGTAACATTAATAACCTATACGAAATTACACACCAGCAATCAAAAAATAATCACCACATTTCCAGCAATACTACTATTTTTTAAAAAATGTAACTATATTAATAAAGTTCAAACACGGATTCACCTCATTTATCAGTAGGCAAGAAAGTATTATATAGTGATTATAAAATTTATCAATAAAAAACATATATAAATAATAATAAATAGAAAACAAATTCACGGAAATGTGTATAGAATAATGTACACTAATCAAACATTTTATAACGAAATATACCTTTGTAGCTAACTTGCATTATTACATTCGAACAAATAATTATGTTAATTTGAAAGTAAAACGTATTTAACCGAGATTTGTACATATGCATGTGCAACCGAAAATTAGTTTTAGGAGATGGAACTATGCATAATGAACGATCTGACGGCCTGACATAGGACTGAACTAGAACTGAACTAGACTGAACTAGAACTGAACTAGAACTGAACTAGAACTGAACTAGAACTGAACTAGAACTGAACTAGAACTGAACTAGAACTGAACTAGAACTGAACTAGAACTGAACTAGAACTGAACTAGAACTGAACTAGAACTGAACTAGAACTGAACTAGAACTGAACTAGAACTGAACTAGAACTGAACTAGAACTGAACTAGAACTGAACTAGAACTGAACTAGAACTGAACTAGAACTGAACTAGAACTGAACTAGAACTGAACTAACTGAACTAGAACTGAACTAGAACTGAACTAGAACTGAACTAGAACTGAACTAGAACTGAACTAGAACTGAACTAGAACTGAACTAGAACTGAACTAGAACTGAACTAGAACTGAACTAGAACTGAACTAGAACTGAACTAGAACTGAACTAGAACTGAACTAGAACTGAACTAGAACTGAACTAGAACTGAACTAGAACTGAACTAGAACTGAACTAGAACTGAACTAGAACTGAACTAGAACTGAACTAGAACTGAACTAGAACTGAACTAGAACTGAACTAGAACTGAACTAGAACTGAACTAGAACTGAACTAGAACTGAACTAGAACTGAACTAGAACTGAACTAGAACTGAACTAGAACTGAACTAGAACTGAACTAGAACTGAACTAGAACTGAACTAGAACTGAACTAGAACTGAACTAGAACTGAACTAGAACTGAACTAGAACTGAACTAGAACTGAACTAGAACTGAACTAGAACTGAACTAGAACTGAACTAGACTGAACTAGAACTGAACTAGAACTGAACTGAACTAGGAACTGAACTAGAACTGAACTAGAACTCTGAATAGAACTGAAGTGGTCTAGAACTGAAACTAGAACTGAACTAGAACTGAACTAGAACTGAACTAGAAACTAACTAGAACTGAACTAGAACTGAACTAGAACTGAACTAGAACTGAACTAGAACACTGAACTAGAACTAACTAGAATGAACTAGAACGGAACTAGAACTGAACTAGAACTGAACTAGAACTGAACGAGAACTGAACTAGAACTGAACTAGAACTGCTAGAACTGACCTAGAACTGAACTAGAACGGAACTATAGAACTGAACTAGAACTGAACTAGAACTGACAGAATGAACTAGAACTGAACTAGAAACTAGACTAGAACTGAACTAGAACTGAACTAGAACTGAACTAGAAACTGGAACTAGAACTGAACTAGAACTGAACTAGAACTGAACTAGAAACTGAACTAGAACTGAACTAGAACTGAACTAGAACTGAACTAGAACTGAACTGAACTAGACTGAACTAGAACTGAACTAGAACTGAACTAGAACTGAACTAGAAACTGAACTAGAACTGAACTAGAACTGAACTATAACTGAACTAGAACTGAACTAGAACTGAACTAGAACTGAACTAGAACTGAACTAGACTGACTAGAACGAACTAGAACTGAACTAGAACTGAACTAGAACTGAACTAGAACTGAACTAAGAATTTGTATTCCATTTATTATTAAGATTTTTTTAAAAATAGTATAATTTTTTTAAATATTTTTATTGTTGTTTTATTATCACAACTAATTTATATTACATAGAAACTCCAGTTACGTTTAATGTGTTATTGAACTTAAAGAATTGTTTAGCTCTTAAAATTAAACTATTGATTTATAGAAATTGTATGTTTGACCATTTCCTAACTACTGCGTTCATAATTTTTAAAACAAAATTACAAACATTTATTTAACGTGATACTCAAGCTGTTTTCCTACCCCTGTAGGACGTTTTAGGACGTTTTGCGGGCAAAACGTTTACAGCCATATAGAAACGAGCTGCTTGTGATAGATGAAATTTATCAAAGTCTTCGGGCGATTGTTCTTCATAATATGGATCGTAGGCACGAGTATCTTCTGGGATCTCTTGTGAGTTATCCGCCTCTGCGCTGCTTTCAATTTGTTGATCTATATTATTATATATATCTTGTAAATCAGATTCATTTTCAACGGCAGCTGCATTTTCTTTATGGTGTTCTGGTTCATCGATAGTATGAGTGTAGCCAGTATCAGGGAATTTGCGTTCGTCATCATAGTAATCATAAAATATTTTGTTTTCGGTTTCTGGTTTTTTAGTAGTTGGTTTTTGGTAGTTGGTGCTTCAGTGGGATAAGGATAAGGATATCCGGGATATCCTGGATAAATTGGAGGGTGGTATACAGGTGGTGCTGGAGCTGGAATAATAATTGGAGGACGAGAACCACCATGGTGGTGATGATGATGGTGATGACCAGGTCCAGGACGATAAGGTGGGTAAACGGGTGCAGGTGGTTGCACAATGATTGGTGGATGGGGATGAGGATGATCACCATGACCATGATGACCAGGAGGACCAACTGGACCTGGCTGACCTGGACGACCAGGACGTCCAGGTTGGCCTACGTCACCGGGCAAACCAGGTCTACCTGGTTTACCGGGTCTTCCGGGAGCACCTGGATAACCAGGATCACCGCGATCGCCTTTTAGTCCTGGTGCTCCAGGTTGACCTGGGGGTCCTGCTGGTCCCGGAGGTCCAGGTGGACCAGGTCGGCAACTACAGTGTGATGGATAATGTGGATGATAATCATGATAAGAAGGAGAGGGAGCAGGTGCGGGATTTGCTATCGCAATTAAGCGTCCTGCTGCTTTAGGTGCTTTTCTAACAGCTTGAGCAGCTGCAAGACTTAAACCTGAACAAATATATAAAAAGTTAGTAGAACTAATTTATACGAATTTAAAATATTCAAATACTTACAGATCAATACTAAGACTAGATGTAGCTTCATTTTTGTTTAATGATTAACTGTGATTGATACTCTCGATAGGCATCTCTTTATATACCAAAATATTTTTTAATAACTTTCTACTATTAACAAAAGCCAAACTGAGCAAAAACAGAACAATTCTATATAGAATATAACTGAATACAACATTTCCATTCTCTATCATATATTAAAGAATTTTGCTATAAGAAAGTACATATGTTAAGTTCGTACTAGGGTTGTAATACTAAGTACTTTAAGACTCCAAAAATTTTCTACAGCAACTTTAACAAATTCGACTTTCTGCTAAACTAATAAAGCACTTTATATATTAAAAATTATTTCACTAAATTGGTTTCTACAAACTATTTTAACTACAAACAACTTTCCTTTCATCTAAACAATTAAGGTAATATGTAGTCGACTAGTCTTATATTGTTTTTATTCTTATAACTTAAATATACTATATTAAGAATTCAGCTATTCTAACAATGATAAACCAAAAATATTAAAAAAGCTATGAATCAAAATAGAACAAATTAATAAATATTTCTTATTAGTTAGAATATTAGCATAAAATAAGTTTGAAGCTAATAAAAGAAAAAATTTCAAAGAATTGTTTAAAGTAGCTAATTGGAACATTAGGTTTAGTATTAAGAAACAATAGCAGATTAAAACATTAATTCAGTGTTGTGTTCTATTTTAATTCATAATTGTAACAGTAGATATATTGTAGTTCTAGTTAAGTTCTAGTTCAGTTCTAGTTCAGTTCTAGCTCAGTTCTAGTTCAGTTCAAGTTCAGTTCAGTTAGTTCAGTTCTAGTTCAGTTTCTAGTCCAGTTCAGTTCTAGTTCAGTTCTAGTTCAGTTCTAGTTCAGTTCTAGTTCAGTTCTAGTTCAGTTCTAGTTCAGTTCTAGTTCAGTTCTAGTTCAGTTCTAGTTCAGTTCTAGTTCAGTTCTAGTTCAGTTCTAGTTCAGTTCTAGTTCAGTTTCTAGTTCAGTTCTAGTTCAGTTCTAGTTCAGTTCTAGTTCAGTTCTAGTTCAGTTCTAGTTCAGTTCTAGTTCAGTTCTAGTTCAGTTCTAGTTCAGTTCTAGTTCAGTTCTAGTTAAGTTTTAGTTCAGTTCTAGTTGAGTTCTAGTTGAGTTCTAGTTCAGTTCTAGAACAGTTCTATTTCAGTTCTAGATCAGTTCTAGTTCAATTCTAGTTCGGTTCTAGTTCAATTCTAGTTCTGTTCTAGTTCAGTTCTAGCCCAGTTCTTGTTCAGTTCTAGTTCAGTTCTAGTTCAGTTCTAGTTCAGTTCTATTTCAGTTCTATTTCAGTTCTATTTCAGTTCTAGTTCAGTTCTAGTTCAGTTCTAGTTCAGTTCTAGTTCAGTTCTAGTTCAGTTCTAGTTCAGTTCTAGTTCAGTTCTAGTTCTAGTTCAGTTCTAGTTCAGTTCTAGTTCAGTTCTAGTTCAGTTCTAGTTCAGTTCTAGTTCAGTTCTAGTTCAGTTCTAGTTCAGTTCTAGTTCAGCTCTAGTTCAGTTCTAGTTTGTTCTAGTTCAGTTCTAGTTCAGTTCTAGTTCAGTTCTAGTTCAGTTCTAGTTCAGTTCTAGTTCAGTTCTAGTTCAGTTCTAGTTCAGTTCTAGTTCAGTTCTAGTTCAGTTCTAGTTCAGTTCTAGTTCAGTTCTAGTTCAGTTCTAGTTCAGTTCTAGTTCAGTTCTAGTTCAGTTCAGTTCAGTTCTAGTTCATTCTAGTTCAGTTCTAGTTCAGTTCTAGTTCAGTTCTAGTTCAGTTCTAGTTCAGTTCTAGTTCAGTTCTAGTTCAGTTCTAGTTCAGTTCTAGTTCAGTTCTAGTTCAGTTCTAGTTCAGTTCTAGTTCAGTTCTAGTTCAGTTCTAGTTCAGTTCTAGTTCAGTTCTAGTTCAGTTCTAGTTCAGTTCTAGTTCAGTTCTAGTTCAGTTCTAGTTCAGTTCTAGTTCAGTTCTAGTTCAGTTCTAGTTCAGTTCTAGTTCAGTTCTAGTTCAGTTCTAGTTCAGTTCTAGTTCAGTTCTAGTTCAGTTCTAGTTCAGTTCTAGTTCAGTTCTAGTTCAGTTCTAGTTCAGTTCTAGTTCAGTTCTAGTTCAGTTCTAGTTCAGTTCTAGTTCAGTTCTAGTTCAGTTCTAGTTCAGTTCTAGTTCAGTTCTAGTTCAGTTCTAGTTCAGTTCTAGTTCAGTTCTAGTTCAGTTCTAGTTCAGTTCTAGTTCAGTTCTAGTTCAGTTCTAGTTCAGTTCTAGTTCAGTTCTAGCTCAGTTCTAGTTCAGTTCTAGTTCAGTTCTAGTTCATTTCTAGTTCAGTTCTAGTTCAGTTCTAGCTCAGTTCTAGCTCAGTTCTAGCTCAGTTCTAGTTCAGTTCTAGTTCAGTTCTAGTTCAGAAGTTCTAGTTCAGTTCTAGTTCAGTTCTAGTTCAGTTCTAGTTCAGTTCTAGTTCAGTTCTAGTTCAGTTCTAGTTCAGTTCTAGTTCAGGTCTAGTTCAGTTCTAGTTCAGTTCTAGTTCAGTTCTAGTTCAGTTCTAGTTCAGTTCTAGTTCAGTCTAGTTCAGTTCTAGTTCAGTTCTAGTTCAGTTCTAGTTCAGTTCTAGTTCAGTTCTAGTTCAGTTCTAGTTCAGTTCTAGTTCAGTTCTAGTTCAGTTCTAGTTCAGTTCTAGTTCAGTTCTAGTTCAGTTCTAGTTCAGTTTCTAGTTCAGTTCTAGTTCAGTTCTAGTTCAGTTCTAGTTCAGTTCTAGTTCAGTTCTAGTTCAGTTCTAGTTCAGTTCTAGTTCAGTTCTAGTTCAGTTCTAGTTCAGTTCTAGTTAAGTTTAGTTCAGTTCTAGTTGAGTTCTAGTTGAGTTCTAGTTCAGTTCTAGAACAGTTCTATTTCAGTTCTAGATCAATTCTAGTTCTGTTCTAGTTCGGTTCTAGTTCAATTCTAGTTCTGTTCTAGTTCAGTTCTAGCCCAGTCTTGTTCAGTTCTAGTTCAGTTCTAGTTCAGTTCTAGTTCAATTCTAGTTCAGTTCTATTTCAGTTCTAGTTCAGTTCTAGTTCAGTTCTAGTTCAGTTCTAGTTCAGTTCTAGTTCAGTTCTAGTTCAGTTCTAGTTCAGTTCTCGTTCAGTTCTAGTTCAGTTCTAGTTCAGTTCTAGTTCAGATTCTAGTTCAGTTCTAGTTCAGTTCTAGTTCAGTTCTAGTTCAGTTCTAGTTCAGTTCTAGTTCAGTTCTAGTTCAGTTCTAGTTCAGTTCTATTTCAGTTCTAGTTCAGTTCTAGTTCAGTTCTAGTTCAGTTCTAGTTCAGTTCTAGTTCAGTTCTAGTTCAGGTCTAGTTCAGTTCTAGTTCAGTTCTAGTTCAGTTCTAGTTCAGTTCTAGTTCAGTTTTGGTTTAGTTCTAATTAAGTTTTGCTTCAGTCCTAATTTAATTCTAATTCACTTCACTAGCCATTTATTAATATTTCTATTATTTCGAACGAGCTCGAAACCTAATTGGAATTTAAAAAAAAAAAATTATTATAATCATTAAAAGTTTTCGAATGGTAAAATTTAACTCCAATTCCTTGCTATTAAAAAAACTCATATAAATAGAAAATATTTCTTAAAATATTCCAAATGTTTTGGTATTGTATTATATACTTAAAATTTAATTAATATTGCCGTAATAAACGCTTATTTTCCCATATTATTTACTTGCTGGAATATCCATGTTAGAATTGTAAAACTTAAATTAATTTCAAAAATTTTTATAATACAATAAAAGTGAATGAAACGCCTATTGACACACATTTTTTCTTAGATGTTTACACAGTGAGTGATAGAATTCGCATAAAACGTATTTTTAATTTATTAATATTAATTTGGAATTCTAAATAGGATTATAAATTAATTAGGTAAACATAGAGAATTTATATGAATACAGTTATAATTCGCAGATTTACCTATTGTGCAATGAAGTCTGAATTATTTTCAATTTGATAGCGCATATTTTTCATAAAAATTACGTTTTTTACTAAAACTTAATAAATAACTTAAAAATTAAATTAAAATTTTTTATTACATATTAATTTATTAATTAATTTTAATTGATATTTTGTTTGCCTTATTAATAAACATTGTTAACAATAAATAACATTCCAAATGTTTCAATTCATCATTTTTACACATTTAGTGACAGCATTTAGTGGCAACGCATTAAAATAAATTAACATTAAATACGTTTGTATGTATATCTGTCTTATATTTCTTCTTAATAATACCCAATAAAATTATTCACCATAAAAACTGGTATTTAGAAAATCCAATAATCTATGAATATTAAATTTAAACCAACTAGTGTGTTTTTATTTAAACAATAGAAATGTAAACAAGAAAATTAAACAAAACAAACAAAAGTTGTTTATGATCATTTTGTGGTTGTAGTGATCAAATCGTTTGCAGCTGTAAAGTCAAACAAAAGGTAAATTTTAAACAACCAAGTGTATGTGTTACATAAAGAGAGAAGTTAAGCCGGTAAATAACTGACCTTTTAGTTTTATTCTAAAACCTAAAATTTAAAATAGATATTTTTTTTATTTTAACTCCCTTCAAAATGAACACAAAAGACTTTGGTATAAAAATTTCACTTTTGTTTTCAATGAATTCTATTAACGTTTTGGGTTAATGTGTTAAAAAGAATAAACGAAAAAGACTATAAATAATGGTTTATTGTTATCAGAAAATGTTTACGATTAAATTTCTGCAACAACAACAATTTGCATATTTTAGTTATGTTCTAATTGAGTTTAAGCTCAGTTCTAGTTCAGTTTAGTTTAGTTCTAGTTCAGTTCTAGTTCAGTTCTAGTTCAGTTCTAGTTCAGTTCTAGTTCAGTTCTAGTTCAGTTCTAGTTCAGTTCTAGTTCAGTTCTAGTTCAGTTCTAGTTCAGTTCTAGTTCAGTTCTAGTTCAGTTCTAGTTCAGTTCTAGTTCAGTTCTAGTTCAGTTCTAGTTCAGTTCTAGTTCAGTTCTAGTTCAGTTCTAGTTCAGTTCTAGTTCAGTTCTAGTTCAGTTCTAGTTCAGTTCTAGTTCAGTTCTAGTTCAGTTCTAGTTCAGTTCTAGTTCAGTTCTAGTTCAGTTCTAGTTCAGTTCTAGTTCAGTTCTAGTTCAGTTCTAGTTCAGTTCTAGTTCAGTTCTAGTTCAGTTCTAGTTCAGTTCTAGTTCAGTTTCTAGTTCAGTTCTAGTTCAGTTCTTCTAGTTCTAGTTCAGTTCTAGTTCAGTTCTAGTTCAGTTCTAGTTCAGTTCTAGTTCAGTTCTAGTTCTAGTTCAGTTCAGTTCAGTTCTAGTTCAGTTCTAGTTCAGTTCTAGTTCAGTTCTAGTTCAGTTCTAGTTCAGTTCTAGTTCAGTTCTAGTTCTAGTTCATCTAGTTCAGTTCTAGTTCAGTTCTAGTTCAGTTCTAGTTCAGTTCTAGTTCAGTTCTAGTTCAGTTCTAGTTCAGTTCTAGTTCAGTTCTAGTTCAGTTCTAGTTCAGTTCTAGTTCAGTTCTAGTTCAGTTCTAGTTCAGTTCTAGTTCAGTTCTAGTTCAGTTCTAGTTCAGTTCTAGTTCAGTTCTAGTTCAGTTCTAGTTCAGTTCTAGTTCAGTTCTAGTTCAGTTCTAGTTCAGTTCTAGTTCAGTTCTAGTTCAGTTCTAGTTCAGTTCTAGTTCAGTTCTAGTTCAGTTCTAGTTCAGTTCAGTTCAGTCTAGTTCAGTTCTAGTTCAGTTCTAGTTCAGTTCTAGTTCAGTTCTAGTTCAGTTCTAGTTCAGTTCTAGTTCAGTTCTAGTTCAGTTCTAGTTCAGTTCTAGTTCAGTTCTAGTTCAGTTCTAGTTCAGTTCTAGTTCAGTTCTAGTTCAGTTCTAGTTCAGTTCTAGTTCAGTTCTAGTTCTAGTTCAGTTCTAGTTCAGTTCTAGTTCAGTTCTAGTTCAGTTCTAGTTCAGTTCTAGTTCAGTTCTAGTTCAGTTCTAGTTCAGTTCTAGTTCAGTTCTAGTTCAGTTCTAGTTCAGTTCTAGTTCAGTTCTAGTTCAGTTCTAGTTCAGTTCTAGTTCAGTTCTAGTTCAGTTCTAGTTCAGTTCTAGTTCAGTTCTAGTTCAGTTCTAGTTCAGTTCTAGTTCAGTTCTAGTTCAGTTCTAGTTCAGTTCTAGTTCAGTTCTAGTTCAGTTCTAGTTCAGTTCTAGTTCAGTTCTAGTTCAGTTCTAGTTCAGTTCTAGTTCAGTTCTAGTTCAGTTCAGTTCAGTTCTAGTTCAAGTTCTAGTTCAGTTCTAGTTTCAGTTAGTTCAGTTCTAGTTCAGTTTCTAGTTCAGTTCTAGTTCAGTTCTAGTTCAGTTCTAGTTCAGTTCTAGTTCAGTTCTAGTTCAGTTCTAGTCTCAGTTCTAGTTCAGTTCTAGTTCAGTTCTAGTTCAGTTCTAGTTCAGTTCTAGTTCAGTTCTAGTTCAGTTCTAGTTCAGTTCTAGTTCAGTTCTAGTTCAGTTCTAGTTCAGTTCTAAGTTCAGTTCTAGTTCAGTTCTAGTTCAGTTCGGTAGTTCAGTTCTAGTTCAGTTCTAGTTCAGTTCTAGTTCAGTTCTAGTTCAGTTCTAGTTCAGTTCTAGTTCAGTTCTTAGTTCAGTTTCAGTTCAGTTCGTCTAGTCATTCTGTTCAGTTCTAGTTCAGTTCTAGTTCAGTCTAGTTCAGTTCTAGTTCAGTTTCTAGTTCAGTTCTTCTAGTTCAGTTCTAGTTCAGTTCTAGTTCAGTTCTAGTTCAGTTCTAGTTCAGTTCTAGTTCAGTTCTAGTTTCAGTTCTAGTTCAGTTCTAGTTCAGTTCTAGTTCAGTTCTAGTTCAGTTCAGTTCAGTTCTAGTTCAGTTCTAGTTCAGTTCTAGTTCAGTTCTAGTTCAGTTCTAGTTCAGTTCTAGTTCAGTTCTAGTTCAGTTCTAGTTCAGTTCTAGTTCAGTTCTAGTTTAATTCTAGTTCAGTTTTAGTTTAGTTCCAGTTCTCTGATCTAAAACTCAGTTCTTGTTAAGTTTTAGTTCAGATCGTAATTTAAGTAAAAAATTTAAATTCTTTTTCCTTTTAAGTCCAGCTTCTTGTTCACTTCTGATTCAGATTGCAGTTCAGAACACTTATTTCCGTTCTTGTTCAGAGTTTAGTTCCTTATCTAGCTTTGGCGTGATAAATTATGTAAAGTTTTTATTTAAGAAAATTCGTAGTTTTGCAACATCATCTTGAAGTTTGATTCATTTCTGAAAATAATTTTTATAATTTTCAGCAGATAAATGTATTAATTTGATATAATTAAACTTTCCAACGTCTCATTTAAGACTGGTGTCAGGCATAGTTTATATAGATTTAAAACTACCTGAAACAGTTGATTTTTTAAGAATAAACAATTTTAACAATTAGCCATTAAAAACAATATTAACAATTTTTATACCTTTCATATCTGTTCATTTAAATCCAAAACCTTTAGACAATGCAAGAACATAAAAGGAAAGTTTACAATGAAATTTGGAAATAAAAATGTGCGAAAATCATGAAGTATTTTCTAACTTATTCAAATGTTAATGACGAGAAAACAACACCAGAAAAATTCATGATTATTAATAATAAAATTCAAAAATGTTGCAAATTTTTATTAACTAAAGGTTATTAATTTTCTAAATCAATATTGCGAATTTTTTGCAAACATATAAAAACTTATAGGGAAATCAGCTTACTAGTTAGTTTAGCAGAAATGGAGCGACATATAGCTGTAGTTGTGCTATGTAAGTTAGCCTTATATTAAAAATTTGGGAAAATATTGCTAATTAATTTAATTGATTGTGTGTTTTTTCACAGGTTTAGGACTGCAGTTGGCTGTAGCGTCTGAAAATGAGTTGAAGGAAACAGGTCGTTTAATTTCGGTGGGTAATCCTGCACCATCGTCATCACCTGTAGTTTATCCGCCATATTATCCACCACATTCACATTATCCCTCACACTGTGGATGTTCACCTGGTCTTCCAGGTCCACCAGGACCACCCGGTCCCCCAGGTTTACCCGGTAGTCCTGGACTTAAGGGTGATCGTGGTGACAACGGTTATGTTGGTCATCCCGGCAGGCCCGGAAAACCTGGCAGACCTGGTATTCCCGGTAATCCAGGGCCACCAGGAAGGCCAGGTCGTCCTGGACCACCAGGTGCCCAGGGTCCTGTTGGTCCTCCTGGCCAACATGATCATGGACGGTATCCTGTACCACCTGTAGTAGTAACACCACCAGCTCCAGTATATCCCCCTCCTTATCACGACGGTGGTGGTAAACATCATCATCATCACCATCATCATAACAACAACAATCAAGGGCCTATCATAGTACCTGCTCCAGCACCAGCACCATCTTATCATCACCCACCTATTTATCATCCACATCCTGTATATCCAGCTCCAGCACCACCCGCACAATCTCCTATTATTATTTTGGGTGGAGGTGGAGGTGGAGGAGGTGGTAGCAGTAGCAGTAGTGCTGGGGGTGGTGGTGGAGGAGGAGGTGGTACTGGAGGTGGTACTACTGGAACAGTAACAACCACTAGAAGACCTGCAACTACTACCAGAGCACCGGCAGCCAATAATAGAGTGTATCTCTATGGTGGACGCCAATATCCCGAACAACATGATTACCATCCAGAAGAACAGCAATATAATGATCAAATAAATGAGGTAAACTCCCCTCAGAGTCAAAATTATGATGAAAATTCTGGCGAAAACTATAACCAAAATAGTGGTGAAGTAGGATCAGAAGTGCCAGAAAACAACAATCACTTGGATCAACAACCGGAAAGTTCAGTAGAAATGAATGATTATAATCTCCATCCAGAAGATGGAGAAACTTATGTAGACAGTGATCAATCACAAGCAACTCGTTTCAATAACGCTGTTCAGGGTACGAAAAGTTCTAAGAATTTCACAAATAAATGAAAATAATTATTGAATATTAAAAAAAGATGTTTGTTGTTTTTTCATTACGCTTATTTTAAGCATTGATCATATTTTGAAAATTGGGTCAAATATAATGCCATTATATTCCAATGGTAGTTTCGAAAAATTTTATTGGATTCAGTTCTAGTTCATTTCTAGTTCAGTTCTAGTTCAGTTGTAGTTCAGTTGTAGTTCAGTTGTAGTTCAGTTGTAGTTCAGTTGTAGTTCAGTTGTAGTTCAGTTGTAGTTCAGTTGTAGTTCAGTTCTAGTTCAGTTCTAGTTCAGTTCTAGTTCAGTTCTAGTTCAGTTCTAGTTTAGTTCTAGTTCAGTTCTAGTTCAGTTCTAGTCAGTTCTAGTTCAGTTCTAGTTCAGTTCTAGTTCAGTTCTAGTTCAGTTCTAGTTCAGTTCTAGTTCAGTTCTAGTTCAGTTCTAGTTCAGTTCTAGTTCAGTTCTAGTTCAGTTCTGGTTCAGTTCTAGTTCAGTTCTAGTTCAGTTTTTATTTCGTTCCACTAATTGTGAACTGATTTAAGAGAAGCTGAGGTATTCAACAAGGTTTTCAATACCAAATAAAGAAAAAAAAAATAAAATTTGGTTCAAAACAAAAATCAAATTTGTCATGTTAGTATTATAATTAGCGTTTAGGAACAATAAATTATTAAAACCTGGCAGACCTGGCAGAAGTTCTAGTTCAGTTCTAGTTCAGTTCTAGTTCAGTTCTAGTTCAGTTCTAGTTCAGTTCTAGTTCAGTTCTAGTTCAGTTCTAGTTCAGTTCTAGTTCAGTTCTAGTTCAGTTCTAGTTTTCAGTTCTAGTTCAGTTCTAGTTCAGTTCTAGTTCAGTTCTAGTTCAGTTCTAGTTCAGTTCTAGTCAGTTCTAGTTCAGTTCTAGTTCAGTTCTAGTTCAGTTCTAGTTCAGTTCTAGTTCAGTTCTAGTCGTTCTAGTTCAGTTCAGTTCTAGTTCAGTTCTAGTTCAGTTCTAGTTCAGTTCTAGTTCAGTTCTAGTTCAGTTCTAGTTCAGTTCTAGTTCAGTTCTAGTTCAGTTCTAGTTCAGTTCTAGTTCAGTTCTAGTTCATTCTAGTTCAGTTCTAGTTCAGTTCTAGTCAGTTCTAGTTCAGTTTTATTTCGTTCCACTAATTGTGAACTGATTTAAGAGAAGCTGAGTATTCAACAAGGTTTTCAATACAATAAGGAAAATAAAATTGGTTCAAAACAAAATCAAATTTGTTATGTTGGTATTATAATTAGCATTTAAGAACAATAAATTAGGTTGGCTCCAAATGGTTTCGAACAAATCAAATAAAATGTGATCAAAATTTAATGTAGAAAAACGAAAGAATAGTGTTTATAATTAATTAATTTTAATCAATTTCATTAAGTAATAGATAAATTAAATCGTTTTCAAAAAAATATATGAAATATTTTTTAACTCTATTATTTAAATACATTGTTCTACATACTAAAGGAGTCATCCTAATAAACGTATATACGCTATTTCTTCTTAAGTCTCAAAAAATGATACTCAAATATTAGTTCAGTTCTAGTTCAGTTCTAGTTTAGTTCTAGTTCAGTTCTAGTTCAGTTCTAGTTCAGTTCTAGTTCAGTTTTTATTTCGTTCCACTAATTGTGAACTGATTTAAGAGAAGCTGAGTATTCAACAAGGTTTTCAATACCAAATAAAGGAAAATAAAATTTGGTTCAAAACAAAAATCAAATTTGTTATGTTGGTATTATAATTAGCATTTAAGAACAATAAATTAGGTTGGCTCCAAATGGTTTCGAACAAATCAAATAAAATGTGATCAAAATTTAATGTAGAAAAACGAAAGAATAGTGTTTATAATTAATTAATTTTAATCAATTTCATTAAGTAATAGATAAATATAAATCGTTTTCAAAAAAATATATGAAATATTTTTTAACTCTATTATTTAAATACATTGTTCTACATACTAAAGGAGTCATCCTAATAAACGTATATACGCTATTTCTTCTTAAGTCTCAAAAAATGATACTCGAATATAAACAGCAATTTCTAATTTTATTCTTTTATCACCATTTAGACCAGTATGTTTGTATCAGATATGTTAATATATATATTATAACATTTAAACAAAGCCATAAACTTAAAGCTCTTACAATAAAATTGATCAATGAAAAGATCATAAATTATTTTCTAGTTCATTCAAATGCTAATGACAAGAAAAGAAGAAGAAAGAAATAGCATGTCACATTTGCTCTTATTCGAACTATTGCTTTTTTCGCTTTTTCTTTCGACGATCAACAAGTCACGGATAATAAAAAGCAAATGCAAAAATGTTGCAAATTTTACCAACTAACGGTTATTCAATTTCTAAAATGTTATTTGCGAATTTTTCAAATCTATAAAAAGTAATACTTACACAGGGAAGCCAGCTTAGTAGTTAGTTTAGAAACAATGAAGCCACACATAGTTGTAGTGTTGCTGTGTGAGTATGATTTAAATATAGTTTTCAAAGTCCTTTAAAACAAAATTATTTTCTTGTAGCTTTGAGTCTTGCATCTGGAAATGATTATAAGGAAACAGGTCGTGTAATTTCATTGAGTAATCCGGCACCACCATCTGTAGTATATAAACCATATTACCCACCACATTATCCCTCTCACTGTGGTTGTTCACCCGGACTTCCAGGTCCACCAGGACCACCCGGTCCCCCTGGATTACCGGGAAATCCTGGCCCAAAAGGTGACCATGGTGATAATGGTCATATCGGACACCCCGGCAGGCCGGGAAAACCCGGTAGACCTGGCATTCCCGGTAATCCAGGACCACCAGGACGACCTGGTCGTCCAGGACAGCCGGGTGCTCAGGGTCCTGTAGGTCCTCCCGGTCATCACGGGCATGGTCATGGTCACTACCCTGTGCCACCTGTAGTAGTACAACCACCGGCACCTGTATATCCACCACCTTATCATGGAGGTGGCGGAAATCATCACCACCATCATCATCATCATGGCAATAAAAATCCACCAATCATAATTCCAGCACCCGCACCAGCCCCATCTTATCACCCACCCATTTACCATCCCGTTCACCCAGCTCCTGCACCTGCCGCACCATCTCCTATTATTATTTTAGGTGGTGGTGGTGGTGGCAGCAGCAGCAGTAGTAGCGCTGGTGGTGGTGGAGGAGGAGGTGGCGGTGGTACACGTCCCGGCACTGCTACTACTACCAGAAGACCTGCAACGACAACTAGAAGGCCAGCAGCCAATAATAGACTGTACGTGTATGATGGTCGTCAATATCCCGAAAATCACGACTATCATCCACAAGATCAGCAATATAATGAACAAATAAATGAGGTCAACGCTGCAAATTATTATGAAACTTCTGGGGAAAACTATAACCAAAATAGTGCTGAAGTTAATAATGATTTGGAACAACAAATTGGAAGCTCTCAAGAAATGTCGGATGATAACAATTATGAAGGACAAGCAGGCGAAGATGGAGAATCTTATGAAGAAAGTCATCAATCATCTGCAGATCGTTTCTATCAGGCTGTTCTGGGTACAAAACGTTCAAAAGGATAAATAAATGGAAAAGTGATATTAAATACTGAATATTACTATATGTGGTTTTATTTATTTGTTAAATTAGATTAGGATTTGTACATGAAGTTTAAGTTTAGTTCTGTTTCTAGTTCTGTTCTAGTTCTGTTCTAGTTCTGTTCTAGTTATGTTCTAGTTCTGTTCTAGTTCTCTGGTTCTAGTTCTGTTCTAGTTCTGTTCTAGTTCATTCTGTTCTAGTTCTGTTCCTAGTTCTGTTCTAGTCTGTTCTAGTCTGGTTTCTAGTTGCTGTGTTCTAGTTCTGTTCTAGGGTGTTGATAGTCTGTTCTAGTATGTTCTAGTATAGTTCTGTTCTAGTCTTGTTCTAGTTCTGTTCTAGTGTTCTATGTTCTAGTTCTGTTCTAGTCTGTGTCTAGTTCTGTTCTAGTTCTGTTATAGTATGTTCTAGTTTGTCTCTAGTTCTGTTCTAGTTCTGTTCTATGTTCTAGTTCTAGTTCTGTTCTAGTTCTGTTCTAGTTCTTGTTCTAGTTCTGTTCTAGTTCTGTTCTAGTTCTGTTCTAGTTTCTGTTCTAGTTCTGTTCTAGTTTGTTCTAGTTTCTGTTCTAGTTCTGTTCTAGTTCTGTTCTAGTTCTGTTCTAGTTCTGTTCTAGTTCTGTTCTAGTTCTGTTCTAGTTCTGTTCTAGTTTGTTCTAGTTTCTGTTCTAGTTCTGTTCTAGTTCTGTTCTAGTTCTGTTCTAGTTCTGTTCTAGTTCTGTTCTAGTTTCTGTTCTAGTTCTGTTCTAGTTCTGTTCTAGTTCTGTTCTAGTTCTGTGTTCTAGTTCTGTTCTAGTTCTGTTCTAGTTCTGTTCTAGTTCTGTTCTAGTTTCTAGTTCTGTTCTAGTTCTGTTCTAGTTCTGTTCTAGTTCTGTTCTAGTTCTGTTCTAGTTCTGTTCTAGTTCTGTTCTAGTTCTGTCTAGTTCTGTTCTAGTTCTGTTCTAGTTCTGTTCTAGTTCTGTTCTAGTTCTGTTCTAGTTCTGTTCTAGGTCGGTTCTAGTTATGTTCTAGTTTGTTCTAGTGTTTCTAGTTCTGTTCTAGTTCTGTTCTAGTTCTGTTCTAGGTTCTGTTTCTAGTTGCTGTTTAGTTCGTTCTAGTTCTGTTCTAGTTCTGTTCTAGTTTCTAGTTCTGTTCTAGTTTGTTCTAGTTCTGTTCTAGTTCTGTTCTAGTTCTGTTCTAGTTCTGTTCTAGTTCTGTTCTAGTTCTGTTCTAGTTCTGTTCTAGTTCTGTTCTAGTTCTGTTCTAGTTCTGTTCTAGTCTGTTCTAGTTCTGTTCCTAGTTCTGTTCTAGTTCTGTTCTAGTTTCTGTTCTAGTTCTGTTCTAGTTCTGTTCTAGTTCTGTTCTAGTTCTGTCTAGTTCTGTTCTAGTTCTGTCTAGTTCTGTTCTAGTTTCTAGTTCTTTCTAGTTCTTTTATAGTTTCTGTTTCTAGTTCCTGTTCTATTCTGTTCTAGTTCTGTTCTAGTTCTGTCTGTTCTAGTTCGTTCTAGTTGTTTTTCTTCTAGTTCTGTTCTAGTTCTGTTTTCTAGTTCTGTTCTAGTTCTGTTCTAGTTCTGTTCTATTCTGTCTAAGTCAGTTCTAGTCATTCTAGTTCAGAACTGACTTGTTTATTTCAGTTCATTTCATTTGTAGTTTCATTACAATGTTGTCGATGTTAAACGAACAAATTTTTTAACACTATTAACACTGAACGTCTTGGTATGGATTTACTTTTCTTATAAAATCGTTGGTACTCTGCAACATTTCATCTAACTTCTTTCACTACACCAGCTATAACCTATTGTTAACTTTAGGCAAATAATTTAAACATTTTTAATATTGTTTGTTCAGCCTAAGTCAATAGGTATTCAAATTTTTAGGCCTTAGACAAAAAAATCTTAGATTTACACTGAGAAAAATTCCATTATTTGGAGTTTTTGTACCGATCTAAATAAATGATATTGAAGGATAATTAATAATTTTCGAATGATAATTTTTCTAATTATTTTAAACAACATTTTGAGTCAAAAATTTATTTCTAGTTGACTATTTTTCTAAGTGTAGCAATCTTAATTGGTGCACGCGTTTTTTTTCTACAAATATTAACAGTAATATCATATTTTGATGACCTATTGAAAACTGAATTGAAAAAGCGTTATGTGCATAATTTGCTTATACAATAGTGAATTTTTTAGGCAAATTTATCTAATTGTATAAAAACCGATGTCTGCAGAGGAAAACCATTTCAGTAGATTGTTTGGCTACAATGAAGCTATACATAGGCCTAGTTGTGTGGTGTAAGTAGTCTCTTTATATTTTGTAAAACTCTTTTTAATTAGAAAAAATTATAATTTTGTTTTGCAGCTTTAGCCTTAAATATGGCTCTGGCATCCACGGAAAAAGAACAGGAAACTGGACGTTTAATTTCTTTTAAAACTGAAGCCCCTGCTGCACCTTCGTATCCACATTATTATCCACCACAATACAACTCACAATGTGGTTGTTCACCAGGACTTCCTGGTCCCCCAGGTCCACCTGGACGACCTGGTGCCCCCGGCAATCCTGGCCCTAAGGGTGATCGCGGTGATAACGGTCATTTGGGTCATCATGGTAGCCCAGGCAAATCTGGGAGACCTGGTATTCCTGGTAATCCAGGACCACCTGGCCGTCCAGGACGTCCTGGAGCTCCGGGTCCTGTAGGTCCTCCCGGTCATCATGGGCATGGTCGTGGACATTACCCTGTTCCCCCAGTAGTTGTACAACCTCCAGCTCCAGTTTATCCACCACCTTATAGTTCTGGTGGTGGACATCATCATCACCATCATCATCATCACAATAATAACAACCAAAGACCCATTATAGTACCTGCTCCAGCACCAGCTTATCATCCACCCATTTATTATCCACCTCCGTACTATCCAGCTCCAGCACCAACACAACCACCAATAATTATTGGCAACAACACTAGTAGTGGTAATAAGGGTGGCAGTAGTAGTAGCAGCAGCGGCGGTGGAGGAGGAGGCGGTGGCGGCAATAGAGGAGGTGGTGGCGGTAGTGGTGGAAGCAGCAGCAGCAGTAGCGGTGGTGGTAGTAGTAGTAGCAGTAGCGGCGGTGGAGGAGGAGGTGGTGGCGGTGGTACTACTACCACCACTACAGTAACTACTAAAAAACCTGCCACAAAAACTAGAACGTTCAATAATGGCCGTCAAAATCCCAATAATCATAACTATTATATAGAAGATCATCACTATAATGATGTAAATGAACCTCAGAGTACACATTATGAAGAACATTCTGAAGAAGATAATTTTAATTATGAATCAAATGACGAAAATATAGAAAGTGCTGAAATGAATTCTCAAGAGATGTCTGATGATGGACAACCAGGCGAAGATGGTCAAGATGGAGAAGAACACAATGAAGTTCATCAATTCGATCAATCACAGGTGGCTCGCTTTTACGAGGCTGTCCAGGGTACTAAACATTCTAAAGGATATTATAAATAAAATAAAATTTCAGTTAACTTTGCGAAAATATTTTGATTTTATTATTTAGGAGAATTTAATCAGAAAACCCCATTTTGTTTTGGGAAAAGTGTACATTTTTTTTAGAAAATAATTCGGGCCAAACAAATTTGAGAATTCTTCGAAAGCATGACTCTACTAAGTTCTTTCTATGTTCCAACAAATTTGCTCTACAGAGAGCAACTCATCATACAAACTATGTCTTTAAAGAGAAAAGATATTCAAAGAGCTACTTTAGTATACAGATATTATCGGTTATAGAACGGTCTTAACTTTGAACTATAGAACCATAAAATGGACTCTAGACTGTTCTATAGCCTAGACCATTGAATAGCCTATTGCCTGGACTATACAATATTCTATACAGTAGACTATGGAACAGACCATAATCTGGACTATAGAACAGTATATAATCGAGACTGTAGAAGGGTCAATTATGTAGTCTGGACAATAGTCTATAGTTTGGGCTGTCATAAAATGGACTCTAGACTGTTCTATAGCCTAGACCATTGAATAGCCTATTGCCTGGACTATACAACAGTCTATAGAGTAGACTATGGAACAGACCATAATCTGGACTGTAGGACAGCTTATAATCGAGACTGTAGAAGGGTCAATTATGTAGTCTGGACTATAGTCTATAGTTTGGGCTATAGAACAGTCTATAGTCTGGACTATAGAACAGTGTATAGTCTAGACTATAAAACAGTCTACAGTCTGGACTATAGAACAGTCTATAGTCTGGACTATAGAACAGTCTATAGTATGGACTATAGAACAGTCTATAGTCTGGACTATAGAACAGTCTATAGTCTGGACTATAGAACAGTCTATAGTCTGGACTATAGAACAGTCTATAGTCTGGACTATAGAACAGTCTATAGTCTGGACTATAGAACAGTCTATAGTCTGGACTATAGAACAGTCTATAGTCTGGACTATAGAACAGTCTATAGTCTGGACTATAAAACTGGACTGTGAAACAGTCTATAGTGTGGATTATAGAACCGTCTATAGTCTGGACTTTAGAAAAGTCCATAGTCTGGACTATAGAACAGTCTATAGTCTGGACTATAGAACAGTCTATAGTCTGGACTATAGAACAGTCTATAGTCTGGACTATAGAACAGTCTATAGTCTGGACTATAGACCAGTCTATAGTCTGGACTATAGAACAGTCTCTAGTCTGGACTATAGAACAGTCTCTAGTCTGGACTATAGAACAGTCTATAGTCTGGACTATAGAACAGTCTATAGTCTGGACTATAAAACAGTCAATAGATTGGACTATAGAACCGTCTTAAATCTGGACTGTGGAACAGTCTATAGTGTGGACTATAAAATAATCTATAGACTGGACTAAAGAACAGTCAGAAGTCTGGACTATAGAACAGTCTATGGTCTGGACTACAGACCTTAGGAAAGTTTATAGTCTGGACTGTAGAACAGTTTGGACTATAGAACAGTCCATAGTCTGGACTATAGAATTGAAGGAATATAGTCAGGTCTATAGCTGTCTGTAGAATGATGTTGCTTTCAACCTTTCTTCAAAAAGTGTTATTTTCGAATGATTTCTAAAACAATTCGAAATGAAATGTTTACATTTTTTCTTCAGGTATTAAAACTAAATATGAATATGAATAGTAGCTGTTATAATCTATAATTATGTTTTGACTATAATAGTTGTAGCATTTCTCTAATTATAATTAAAGTTTTATGCAAATATTTATATAACGTTTTAAAATAATATCTCTAAATCAAAACAAAAATGAACTGACATGTGATGAATGAACAAGATCAGCTATCAATAAAATTTATATTTACATTTCTGTTTGTTTTGGCCTAGACTAATAAATATTTAAATTAAAATGTTTAAACAAAAAGTTTAAAGTTTAATTTCTTATAGATAATAATAGTAAAAAACACACGTTTTCGTAAATGCATGAATTATTTGCGATTTCATTCAAGAATAAAACATAGCATACTTTGTTAGATGGTATTAGAAATTTCTTTATTTAGAAACGATTATATCGCTCTTACTTTCCTTTGTAAAATGGCAAAAAAAAATTCCTAAGACTACTAAAATTAAAATGTAAATTTTTAGGAAATTCTAAAAAAAGATCAACTATAGTGTTGTAAATTTAATTAAGAATAGATTTGTTTTACAAACACAAAGAAAAAATTTGGAAGGTCTAATGGATTTTTCAAGCCTTATGTAACATATGTATGACAAACTATAGTCTGTAGGGTTACTATAGACTTACAGTATATGCTGATCTAAAGTCTATAGACTGATCTGTTATCAACACTACATACTTATCGGTATTCCAGGCTATATCTTAGTTTATAACCTAGACCATACATCGACGTGTTTTCTAGAGTACAGAATGATCTCTATCCTAGACTATATATCGAAGTATATCCTTATCTAAAGACTGATCTTTAGTCTAGACTATTAAATGCTACATATTTTATGAGTGATCTATAGTCGAAGCTACAAAACCATCTATAGTCAATACTGTGTGTGATATAAACAAAATTTGTCTATGTAGCCTTAATAAAAGTCGTCAAAACGGGCAGAATTAACCTTATTTCTTTATGATAATAGATTGTAAAAGAGAAATTTCTATTGGTATATAAACACTGACGTTCAGCGAGAACAAAACAATAGATTGTTAAGCAACAATGAAGCTACACATAGTCCAGCTGGTGCTATGTAAGTAATACATTTTTTTATTAGACTAGAGGATTTAACTTAAACATTTATTTATTTGCTGATGTTGCAGGTTTAGGTCTTAACTTGGCCTTGGCCAAGCATAAGGAGACAGGACGTTTGATTTCTTTCGGAAGTTCGGAACCTGCTGCCCCTTCGCCGGAGTATAAAAATGTGCCTTATTATCCCCCTCCATATCCCTCACCTTGCGGTTGTGCGCCGGGTTTGCCAGGACCACCTGGTCCACCAGGTCCTCCTGGTCTTCCTGGTAGTCCCGGTGAAAAAGGTGATCGCGGAGATACAGGTTATCCTGGACATATTGGTAGACCAGGTAAACCTGGTCGTCCTGGAGTTCCCGGTAATGCCGGACCACCAGGTCGTCCTGGTCGTCCGGGTCAGCCAGGTGCTCAGGGTCCTGTTGGGCCTCCAGGTCATCATGGCGGTCATGGACACTATCCAGTGCCTCCAGTAGTTGTACAGCCACCAGCACCGGTATATCCACCTCCATATCACGGGGGTGGTGGTAATCATGAGCACCATCATCACCATCATAATTCAAATAACCAACCCCAAATAATTGTACCCACCCAAGCACCTGTTCATCCACCCATATACCATCCACCTATACGCCCACATCCACCACCAGCTGCTCCCCCCGCACAACCACCTATTATTATTTTCACTCCTGGCAGTTCCAGTAGTAGTAGTTCTAGCGCTGGCGGCGGAGGAGGTGGTGGCGGTGGTAGCAGTGGTTCCACTAGTACTGTGCGCACAACTACAAGAGCTCCAGCAACCACTAAAAAACCTGCTGCCAACAATAGAATTGTATATTTTGATGGCAGCAAATATACCAACTATCTGGATGAAGAAATTGATCCATATAGGGAAGACCATAACAAAGTAAATGTAGGGCACCAGCAAATGGTCGTGCACAAATATAAACAACGACCAAATTACGCTGTAACACCAGCTGAAGATGATTCGGATATTGTACAACATTATCCAGAGGATTCAGGGGATCAGGAAGACATTACAGGCGCAAATGAAGAGTTTGAAAGTGTGTCACATGCAGAAGGTAAGCCTGGTGATAATTACGGACATAAAAACCCCAATAGACAACCTGTAAATCCGCATACATCTCACAAACAAGTAATCAATAGCGGTCATGTAAGCAAATATCCACAAGGTGTTGCAGTAATGGAAAGTACCCAAGTATCAGGTCATATTAACTACGCTGTTGATAACCATAATAGACAACCTGTAAGTCAACATGTGGCAACTAATGGTAATGGAAGTAAGCATCCCATTGGACAAGATCAAAAAGAAAATCAATACAATAACTATAAAAAAGAAGTGATTAACAATCACAAGCATGTTGTTAATACTTACAACAATAACAACAACAATAATAACAATAACAACAATAATAATAACAACAACAATAATAATCATAATAACAACAATAATAATCATAATAACAATAATAATAATCACAATAACAACAATAATAATCATAATAACAACAATAATAATCAAAACAACAACAATAACAACGAAGGCGTTCAGACAATGGAACAACCTACGTATCAGGAGCAAATTGACGCCAACTACCAAACCAATGATCAACAAAATATCGAAGTTGAATCAGAAGCACCAGAAGATAACAATGAAGAACCAATGGAAGTTTTAGCTGAAGTTGAAAATTCCCAGGAAATGCCTGCCACCGTTAATAACTATAATCATATTCATGGACATTATGGAACACCTGGAAATGTAAATGTGGTCAACAATAATATTGCAAATAAATATCCAAACTCATATAGTCCACAAGAACAACACTATGATAAGCAACCTCATAAACAAATAGTTAACAATAATATTGTTCAACAAGTTGAGCCAACTTTAAATTATGATAAAACTCCTGAGGAATATGAATCCACGTTAACGCAAAATAATGAAGAAGAAGACATTGAAGAAACTCAAGAACAAAATCAAAACTATGGCATACATCAAGAAATTGAAAATAGACCAGATGTTGATAGTCCTGCAGATATTCCCGACAATAATAATTACAGTTACGGCAGTAGTTATGGTCAACCTATATATAATAGAAATCCAGGTCAATCTCCAGTGCCACAGGTTTATAAACCAGTTAAAGGAACAAAGCGCTCTAAAGGTCATCGTCGTCAATAAATGGAAAAATTATTAAATTAAAAAAATCTTTTATGTAGTTTTTATTATTTTCGAAAAAATTTAATGGTATTTGGGATCGAGACAAATAAGGTTAATCTGCCACACTTTCTTAGAAATAGGACCTAGTTTAAAAATATTTTATTGAGATCATGTTAGGATCATGTTAATAATATATCCCTATGTAAGGATGCATCATCGAAAAAGTTTGTAGGAGTACTAATGTTTTTATTCCGTTTGTTCATAGACCTACATTATTCTGGATCCTTGGTCTTGCTCCTGCTATAACAGTTCTGTAAAAGCACGAGGTGCTTATATTTCTCACAAATATTTCTTGTTTTTTTCTTTTCTAGCGCCCACAATCTCATAATTGTATAGTATATCAAGATGCAATTGTTTTATAACACATTTGTTATAAGTCTAAAACCTTCTTCCCCATGATGCTATACGCAGTCCGATAAAATTTCAAAAATTCAAAACCCTCCAACACTGCACCATATTGGGTGTTTTGAGATACAATAACATTGGATGTTTTGAGATATAATAACATTTTGGATGAATCACTCGCGAGGAACTTAATAGTGTAAAATTTTATTGCTATATTCATATTTTTTAGCCAGTAATGAGCGTTAAAGTAATTTTCAGAGGGGGACCTTATATGGGGGATAGGGTCATTTATGGGCCGATCTTAAAAAAAATTCGTAGAGCGATTTTGGTTCGTAAGAAACTTACTTATGCCGAATTTCATCGCTATACTCGCATTTTTGGACCAGTAATTTCATCGCTATACTTGTATACTTGTATTTTGGGGCCAGTAATGAGTGTCAAAGTCATTTTCAGAAGGGGACCTTGTATGGGGGTAGGGTCATTTTAGTTAAAAGGTTTAGGTTCGTAAGAAACTTACTTATACTGAATTTCATCGCTATACTCGAATTTTTAGGCCAGTAATGAGTGTTAAAGTCATTTTCTAAAGGGGACCATATATGGGGGGTAGGGTCATTTATGGGCCGATCCTAAAAAAAATTGGTAGAGAGATTTTGGTTCGTAAGAAACATACTTATACCGAATTTCATCGCAATACTTGCATTTTGGGACCAGTAATGAGTGTTAAAGTAATTTTCAGAAGGGGACCTTATATGGGGGGTAGGGTCATTTATGGGCCGATCCTCAAAAAATTTGGTAGAAAGATTTTGGCTCATATGTAACTTATTTATGTCGAATTTCATCGCTATACATGTACTTCTAAAGCAATTATGCCCGTTAAAGCTGTTTTTGGGAGGTCCACTTGTATGGGGGCTATCCGAAAAAGTGGACCGATATTGCCGATTTTCCATACCAAACAAACCTTAATAATAGAGAATATTTATGCAAAATTTCAACTGTCTAGCTCCTCTCATGTGGTCCCTATCGTGATTTCAACAGACGGACGGACGGCCATGGCTAGATCGTCTTAGAATTTAATAAGGACCCGGAATATATATACTTTTATGGGTCTATAACCAATATTTCGATGTGTTACAAACGGAATGACAAAATCAATATACCCCCCATCTTTTTTGATGGTGGGTATAAAAATCGATCGATTATAATCGATCACCTAGCCCCCACACATCAGAACCAACCGAAAAGAGCTTGTGAGCTCATAATTATATTAAATATACCTGTATATCGATAAAAGTTGTGCCTTTTTTTACAAGCCTTGATAATATTGCCAAATTTCATAAATTTCATCGGGCCTCATTTGACAATAGATGCCATACAAAGTCCCTTTCAGAAAATTACTCGAATGTCCAAAATTATCTTATAAACACAAATATCGCGATGAAATTCAACACAAATAACTATTACATAAATATAAATATATTAAATGTATCGGAACAAGGTAATATTGAAGATAAATTCTTTATTATGAAAAATAGTTAGTTTAGTTAGTTAGTTAGTTAGTTAGTTAGTTCGTTAGTTAGTTAGTTAGTTAGTTAGTTAGTTAGTTAGTTAGTAGTTAGTTAGTTAGTTAGTTAGTAGTTAGTTCGTTAGTTAGTTAGTTAGTTAGTTAGTTAGTTAGTAGTTAGTTAGTTAGTTAGTTAGTTAGTTAGTTAGTGTTAGTTAGTTAGTTAGTTAGTAGTTAGTTAGTTAGTTAGTAGTTAGTTAGTTAGTTAGTTAGTTAGTATTAGTTAGTTAGTTAGTTAGTTAGTTAGTTAGTTAGTTAGTTAGTAGTTAGTTAGTTAGTTAGTTAGTTAGTTAGTAGTTAGTTAGTAGTTAGTTAGTTAGTTAGTTAGTTAGTTAGTTAGTAGTTAGTTAGTTAGTTAGTTAGTTAGTTAGTTAGTTAGTTAGTTAGTTAGTTAGTTAGTTAGTAGTAGTTAGGTAGTTAGTTAGTTAGTTAGTTAGTAGTTAGTTAGTTAGTTAGTTAGTTAGTTAGTTAGTTAGTTAGTTAGTTAGTAGTTAGTTAGTTAGTTAGTAGTTAGTAGTTAGTTAGTTAGTTAGTTAGTTAGTAGTTAGTTAGTTAGTTAGTTAGTTAGTTAGTTAGTTAGTAGTTAGTTAGTTAGTTAGTTAGTTAGTTAGTTAGTTAGTTAGTTAGTAGTAGTTAGTTAGTTAGTTAGTTAGTTAGTTAGTAGTTAGTTAGTTAGTTAGTTAGTTAGTTAGTTAGTTAGTAGTTAGTTAGTTAGTTAGTTAGTTAGTTAGTAGTTAGTTAGTTAGTTAGTAGTTAGTTAGTTAGTTAGTTAGTTAGTTAGTTAGTTAGTTAGTTAGTTAGTTAGTAGTTAGTTAGTTAGTTAGTAGTTAGTTAGTTAGTTAGTTAGTTAGTTAGTTAGTTAGTTAGTTAGTTAGTTAGTTAGTTAGTTAGTTAGTAGTTAGTTAGTTAGTTAGTTAGTTAGTTAGTTAGTTAGTTAGTTAGTTAGTTAGTTAGTTAGTTAGTAGTAGTTAGTTAGTAGTTAGTTAGTTAGTTAGTTAGTTAGTTAGTTAGTTAGTTAGTTAGTTAGTTAGTTAGTTAGTAGTTAGTAGTTAGTTAGTTGTTAGTTAGTTAGTTAGTTAGTTAGTTAGTTAGTTAGTTAGTTAGTTAGTAGTTAGTAGTTAGTTAGTTAGTTAGTTAGTTAGTTAGTTAGTTAGTTAGTTAGTTAGTTAGTTAGTTAGTTAGTTAGTTAGTTAGTTAGTTAGTTAGTTAGTTAGTAGTTAGTTAGTTAGTTAGTTAGTTAGTAGTTAGTTAGTTAGTTAGTTAGTTAGTTAGTTAGTAGTTAGTTAGTTAGTTAGTAGTTAGTTAGTTAGTTAGTTAGTTAGTTAGTTAGTTAGTTAGTTAGTTAGTTAGTTAGTTAGTTAGTTAGTTAGTTAGTTAGTTAGTTAGTTAGTTAGTTAGTTAGTTAGTTAGTTAGTAGTTAGTTAGTTAGTTAGTTAGTTAGTTAGTTAGTTAGTTAGTTAGTAGTTAGTAGTTAGTTAGTTAGTTAGTTAGTTAGTTAGTTAGTTAGTTAGTTAGTTAGTTAGTTAGTTAGTTAGTTAGTTAGTTAGTTAGTTAGTTAGTTAGTTAGTTAGTTAGTTAGTTAGTAGTTAGTTAGTTAGTTAGTTAGTTAGTTAGTTAGTTAGTTAGTTAGTTAGTTAGTTAGTTAGTTAGTTAGTTAGTTAGTTAGTTAGTTAGTTAGTTAGTTAGTTAGTTAGTTAGTTAGTTAGTTAGTTAGTTAGTTAGTTAGTTAGTTAGTTAGTAGTTAGTTAGTTAGTTAGTTAGTTAGTTAGTTAGTTAGTTAGTTAGTTAGTTAGTAGTTAGTTAGTTAGTTAGTTAGTTAGTTAGTTAGTTAGTAGTTAGTTAGTTAGTAGTTAGTTAGTTAGTTAGTTAGTTAGTTAGTTAGTTAGTTAGTTAGTTAGTTAGTTAGTTAGTTAGTTAGTTAGTTAGTTAGTTAGTAGTTAGTTAGTTAGTTAGTTAGTAGTTAGTTAGTTAGTTAGTTAGTAGTTAGTTAGTTAGTTAGTTAGTTAGTTAGTTAGTTAGTTAGTTAGTTAGTTAGTTAGTTAGTTAGTTAGTTAGTTAGTTAGTAGTTAGTTAGTAGTTAGTTAGTTAGTTAGTTAGTTACTTAGTTAGTTATCACAAATGTAATATTACATCGTGGATATAAATGTTAAATGTTCAACTTCACTCAAAGAGAGAATCAAGCATTCCGGGCTTGAATCGGTTTTAATAGTACTGAAAGTCCCGTTTGGGTGGAATCAAGTGCAAAATGATAAAATCAAGCTCAAGTCAAACCAGTAAGAAAGTGTCGATTTTTGCGCGATTTAAGCCTTTTTGGGATCAAAGTAATCTCAGAACGTACTTGATTTAAGCATGTCCGATGAGCACATAATCTAAATTCGTACTTTATTTAAAATGAGATTAATTGGTATGATTAAGTTTTTAATTTTAGCAGAAGAAAGGTTTTGTTATAATTTAATTGGCAATAAACAGTCTTTTCTGGCTATTATCAGCTTATAAAATGTTTATAGATATATCTTTATTACAGCTAAAATGTCTTAGTTCATTATATTTTGTTGTATTTCTTTTAAGTTTAATATAAATCGGTTTGCAAATATTTAACAATAATTTCTTTTATCAGTTATTAAAAGCATATTTGTGTTTATCTATTTTGCCACAAACCAATTAACATTTAAATCATAGCGCTTAAACAATGAATTTTACGCATGTCTTTGACTATATTAGTGATCATAGAGATCTCAAAATTAGTTTCTAATTTCATTCAAAATAATACAAACAATTCAATAATTCAAAGAAAATAAAAGGAAGGCATAAAAACATTAGTGTTTTCATATTTTTATTTATTGTTAAAATACTCTAAACACTTTTACTTTCTATTGAAAATGCAAAATTAGTAACGGGTAAAATTAAGCCGAAAGTAATTTGTCGCCAAATTTTCTCTTATACTCTGAATGAAAGAACATTCCGATAAAGTCTTCGAAAAAAGTAAAAGGCTGTATTTGTTTCAGATTTTCCTTAAGTATATAAACACTGTTAGATGTTATAAGAAACCAATACTGTAGATTGTTTAGCAACAATGAAGCT